GGCGGAGGGGGCGGCGACGGCGGCGGCGGCGGCGACGGCGGCGGGGCCGGCGCAAGGCTTGAGGTCGCGTTGGTGACGCCTGGTGACGTCGCGTTTGTCGCGTTTGCGCTCCCAGGGGGCAGCAACGCCTCGTCATCGTCGTCGACCGCGTCGAAGCTTGGCGGCTCATCGTAAGGGTCCTCGACCTCCCCCGCTATTACGCGCAGCTCGTCGTCCAAGAAGGCGGCCCCCTCCGCGCTCATCATGCAGAAGTTGCAGGACAGGCGGCAGTTGGTGCCCATGTAGCTCTGGTTTTTGGCGCACTCGCCCTGGGCCACCAGCTGCGGGCACTTGGCCTGTTGGAGGCAGGGGCGGTTTCGGGGGCTGTTGCAGCCAAGTGGTCGAAGGAGAGCGCCCGCTCCATTCACTTGCCGAATCAGCAGCTGACTCAGGGCTACGCCGCTGCGAAGAATCGCTGCCATGGCCCCCTTGGTGATGTTTGCAACTGCCGCATGTCAGCAGGATGATTTTGCCCCTCTCCGCCGCCCCCACCCCAAACCAAGACGAATCGGCTCTCACCAGGAAGTCCCCGCATGCCATGATCCCGTCCATCCGCTCCAGCTTGTGGTTGAGCGCCTGTCGGGGACATAAGCATCAGTCAGGGGAATTGTATGACAAGGGAAAAGGCAGCGGCAAGCTGACGTGGCTCTGCTTGCTCGCACGTGGAGCACCCGGCGCCAGCGTGGGGCGGTGGACAGCAGGCGGCTGCCTCGTTCGGCAACAGCGATGCGCGCAGTCGACCGGCAGCCCAGGGATTCGCTGCTTTGGGCAGGCCCGAGATGCTCCGAGATGCTGAAGCAAGCAAGGCAGCGGGCGCTGGGCGGTCACCTGGTATGCGTCATCCACAATATCACACACGCGCGCCAGCTGCTTGCTGGGGCGGCAGATTCGCAGGTAGTGCTGGCACAGCGCCGCGTTGGCTGTCAGCACGGGCTCGAGGGCGAGCAGCTCCCGGTAGCGGTCGATGGAGTCGTTCTGGTCAGAGAGGGCAGGCACGGCGCTTGTCAGGTGTTGGGATGCTGCACATTGAATATTCGGGTGGCCGGAGGCGGTTGAAGGTTGTGAAACAACACATGTAGGGTGCAGATCAGGGCTGCGCAGACGGGCCCAACTGCCATGAGCAACATGTTGTTGGAAGAGAGGGCGGGCAGCGTGAGGGCAAAGGTGCGTGCGTTAGGGGCGCCGCTGGAGGCACCATGGAGTGGGGTGGGGTGGGCGAGCAGGGCCACCCCCTCTTGTATGCTCACATGCTTGACGAGCTTTGAGGGCGCCGGGGGCGGCGGCAGCAGGCCAGAGGTGGGGCGCTTGAGGCCGGTCTCCCAGGGCGGGCACCGTGAGATGTCAAAGGCATTGAAACTGCAACAGGCAGCGATGTGTTGCGAAGACACAGGGTGCGGTCAGCTGACCAGGAGCGAGCATGCAGTAGGGTTGGTGCAAACAGGGCGTCCAGGGGTGCAGCTGCCGGCGGGCGCTAAAGTCATCTCTTCATATGCCCAGCCTGCGCCTGTGTCGCTCACTCTTTCTTGTCAAAGGACCAGGGTTCCCCCGTAGCAGGTGTGACCTTCCACTGAACCCCGTAGTGCAGGATGTGCACAACGCCTGCAGAAGCATCGAGGGTTTTGTGAGTTTCCCTGCTTGAGTGCCGCTGGGCGCAGCGAAGCAAGCCTGTGCCTGCTTGCATGCAGGCTGCCGTGCACCTGCTGCCTGCGTACTTTGCACCACAACTGCACGCACCTCCTCTCCCCCCTCACTGGACCCAGTCAACACACATGCACACACATGCGAGTGCGCATACACAGACACACGTGCACACACACACACACATACACAAACACGCATACACAATCACACTTCTTTAACGTTCTCCTTCACACATGCACAAACTCACCTTGCGGTGTGTAACCCGGGTAGAGCATCGCCTCCTTGTCCCACCGGTGCCACACGTCCGCCTTGGCGGCGGCGAACACGTACCCATACATCTCAGCCAGCCACGGCTTGTCGCCCTGGTTGCGCGCCAGCGTGTCGCCGGCATACTTCCAGGCCTGAGGGGCCGCAGCAATGGGGGATCACACGGGTAAGCAAACGCTGTGGGTACGCAGCAGAACGCAGCTGGTGGCGGGTCTCGAGCACCAGGTTGTGGAAACCGCGCACGGCCCTCACAGCTTCGGCACGGCTGCTCAGGCGACCACGGATCAACCTCAGCAACCACCACACCCCCGCAAGCACGGCGCCCAGCGCGTGCTGCTGCCCTGTCGCCTGCGTCCCTCGTGGCCTCGCTGGCTGCCGCATGTGCAGGCTCTGTGAGCATAATACGTCTGCTGCCACCCGCCCACGCCTGGGGGCTGCCACTCGCCTGGGGGTCCGCCCTGACGTCCTCAGTGTACTTCAGCCACAGCGGCGCGATCCGCCGCAGGTCGTCCCTGTGCACCAGCATGAAGCCCCCGACCTGGTCCGCGCGCCGCCCCGGCGGCCCGGCCAGCGCGTCGGCCCGCGGCACGACCTCCGGTATGTGCTGCGCTGCGAGCTGGTTGCTGACGCCGGCCAGGTGCTCGTACCGCGCGCCGACCGCGTGGCCGGGTGAGGTCAAGTTGAAGTCCTCCGGCGTGATCGGCTGCCGCAGGATCATGTCGGCCTCCAGGATCAGGATCCACTCCTCCTCCGGCGAGAAGTGCTTGAGCCAGTCCTTGATCGCGCCGGGCTTGTTGTACGCAGCGTAGTGGTCACCCGTGCGGACGGCTGTCGCGTACGACGGCGCGGTGTGGGTGGTGACGGACTCCAGGGTGTCCGGCTTGTGCGCCTTTGCCTCCTCGTCCGTGCACGACATGATGCGTGTCAGCGGGCCGGGCTGGCCGCTCTGGCGCCAGCTGTAGGCGAGCGTGAGTGTTTGCCAGTCGGCGTAGGCTGTGCAGTCTGTGAGGAACACGGTGTGGACGTTGCCCGCGTCCGTGGGCTCCTTGTAGTTGTCCCCCGTGACGGGGGCCCACCCCGCTGCCGCTGCGAGCGCGCCGCCAGCCAGCAGCAGCAGCAACGGCAGCAGTGATGATGCGGCTGCGCTGGCACACCGGGCACGTGCAGCGGCCGAACGCGGCCCGGCAGCACCCCACTGCCGTGCGCATGGGCGTGGTCGAGCATGGCCGATTTCGGCGGTGCCCATGGCTCCTGTGGCGCTGTTCAGGTTCTATTGGCCATGTCCACCCGGAAGAGCGCCCGACCCTGGGCGGGTGAGATCGAGAAGCGGGTGCAGGGCGGCTAGAGCAGGTGACTTCGACCCTTGAATATGTTAAAAGATTTATGAGAGTGACGGTAGAAGGCACTGCACACGATTCTGAAAATCACCCTCTAGATCGACCAGCAACCACCAACCGAACGAGCTGTGCTGTGTTGTAGAGTGGTTCAGTATTTCATGTGATACTCACGCAACGTTTGAGCGACGTTGGCAGCTGTGGTTACGCTTGGCACCTGTCCAGCTCGTAGTGTGTCCAGGAGCAGCGGGGATGGCCGCAGTCACGCTTGACAAGAGAACGAAAGCTTAGCGCTTTGGATCAGGCGTAATAGCGGTGGTACTATGCGCGCGGCGGCGGACCTGTCGCCGTGGCTGCTGCTTGTCCGGTTTGTGCTGGCGCTGAGCATCGCAGTCGCAGCCGGGGCCGCGGCCGCGGCCGGCCCGCAGGCCCCGAACAAAGCCGCCAATGTGCACACCGTCTTCCTGAATGACTGCACGCTCTACTCCGACTGGCAGACGGTCGTGATGGTGTTTGGCTGGCGCCAGAGCGGCCAGCCGGGGCCCATTACACGCGTGGCCTGCTGCACGCCCGAGGACAAGACGACCTACCTCGAGTCCCGCAAAGGCCTCCTGGACCTCGTCCCGACCCACATCGCCCCCAGCTACGCGCACCACCCGCGCACGGGCGACGACTACGCCGCGTACAACAAGCCCGCCGGCGTGATGGACTGGCTGGACAAGGCGCCGCCAGAGGAGGAATTCATCCTGGTCCTCGACAGCGACATGATACTCCGCCGCCCCTTCATCCCTGCAGAGTACATGCAGCTGGAGCGCGGCTGGGCGACGGGCGCGCGGTACGATTACCTCATCGGCGTCGACAACGACCTGGCGGAGCGCCACGTCAGCAGCATCGCGCGGCGCACAGACACTCTGGCCGGCCCAGTGGGGCGGCGCGCGGACCGCGTCGGGGGCTTCTATTACATACACCGCGACGACCTCAAGCGGCTGGCGCCGCTGTGGCTAAAGTACTCGGAGGACGTCAGAGCAGATCCTGAGGTGGCGGGTCGGCAGCGCGGCTTGGGTGGCGCTTTGGGGGATAGGCTAGCGGAGGGGGGGTCCGTGCGGGTGGTAAGGTGGAAGGCTGGGTTGGTGGTGTTGGAGGGCGCGCCGAGGGTGGTGGGTGTTACACAAGGCAACGCAACGCCTTGTTGGAGTCCATAATGGGGCTGATGTTTGGGAGAGGACACTGGCAGCAGGTGCCAGCCTGCCACGTGAAAAATGCGCAAGTCTTATGCAGGCAGGCGCACGCATCGTCATGCACGCGCATGTGTATGTAAGCGCACGCACGTCCACCCGTGCTCCTCCCTCCCATACACAAATGCATGCATGCACGCATCCCCCATGCCATGCTAGGCCTGGCACTTGACAGGCGACCTCTACAGCAAGAGGGCCGGCGAGAAGCCCTGGATATCGGAGATGTACGGTTACGTATTTGGCGCCGCCCATCTTGGTATCTGGCACAAGTGGGATGAGTCGTCTATGATTTATCCAGGCTACCAGCCCACTGGTGGGTAGAACACGGCAGGGTGATGGGTGCTGATGCACCCTGTGTTGTTATGAGCGGCAATTTTGGATGGCAGGTGCCCCCTTTGTAAGCCCCTTGCGTGATGTGTGGGGCAGTGTGGGAGCTGCTTGATGCCGGGGTTGCAAGATCAAGCCGTGCCTACAATCTCGACAGCCTGCATGTACGTCGCTCACCTTCCGCAAGCTCAGGTGTGCCGCGCATCCTGCATTATGGGCTGCTCTGGCACCTGCAGTACCACAAGGGCGCCTGGAGCTTTGACAAGCACTGGTGAGCACTCAGGCCGTAGCAGCCATGGATTCTCTCACGGCGAAATTGTGGCGGCAGCACAGCAGGGTAGGATAACCGCTTCAAGTGACGAGTCGCCAACGCTCGTTGCCCACCTTCCACTGCTTCTCAGGTTTGCTCAATTTGATGTTACTGTCTGCCCTCCCTGGGAGGACGAGGGGAACCAGCGGCCGACCGCCGGCCTGTTCCCTGCCCCGCCACGTCCCAGCGAGCTGAGACCAGGGGTGAGTTGACTGGCCTCAAGCCTGGCGCAGCCTTACCTGCACCCACGCTGCACTTTGGCTTTAAAAACAGTTGAACAGATGTCAGTGATGATGGCTAATGAGGTTGGTTTAGTTTCAACACGCAAGCTATCCCTCCCTGCCCCCAACCTTGATGAGGGGCATGGGCCTCGCCTGCCACCAAACCCTGACAGCAGCGCTTGCCCACCCGGGCCCCTGTTGCCCCCCTTCCCCACCGCCCTCACTCGCGGCGCAGCTGTCTCGAGCAGAGCGCTATCGGGATCTGCTGTCCATTGAGGTGGTCCACACCCTCAACGCGGCCACCTGTGAGTACCACCTGCGCAACTGCCCCCCCAGCGAGCAGCTGGTCCGTTTGTGCACCGTGGCCAACGCGGCGTATGAGGAGACCGTGCAGGAGCTGCGCCAGCTGGATGCCGAGATGGCCTGCACCGACTCAAACGAGGTGGGGCGGGAAGAGAGGGTAAGGGTTGTGGCGACGAGGATGGTTGGCTCAGGGGCGCGGCTTGCGTTTGGGTGCTGACAGGGTGGCATTTGCAGAAGAGGGGCGGGCGGTGTTGTGCGAGGTGACATATGTGATGTGCCCAGGCCGGTAGATGCCAGGCGGACTTTACTGCAAAGATGGACTGCGCATTGCAACATGCGCCATGCAGGTGGATTGCAAGAATTGGGCCAAAGCAGGTGCGATGGGGCATGGCGGCCGCAACGGGGCTTGTCCCCCTGGAGGGCAAGGATGGCGCGCAGGGCTGCGGTACGGTCAGATTGCTGACTTGCATCTGGGCGTCACCCCTGTGATGTTGCCGCATGCCTGGGTGTGGTGATGCGAGGCGCCCACTGTCAAGCCACACAATGCATTTATGAGACCCAGCGCAACCTTCAACGTCGCTGGCCTGCAGGCGAATGTGACAAAAACCCCGACTACATGCACTTCAGCTGTCGCCTCTCCTGCAAGCTCTGCACCCGGTCGGGCCCTGAGCACTTTGCGGGCCACAGCGGCCTCGCGGCAGAGCTATCAAAGGTGGAGCCGCCCTCAAACGGTGCTGGTGCGCTGCCGCCGCCGCCGCCACCACCTGCCACGGCGGCCGAAGTAGATTCAGCGGCGGAGGTCAGAGAAGGGCGGCACACGCCACTGGTCGGGGACGGCGGCCCAAGCAAGCAGCAGCTCCTGGAGCGAAGGTGGGACTTATCGGCAAGGCATTGGGCTTGTCGCAATTCGTTGGGCATGGCTGGCGTGCCGCCCCTCATCCCAGTGCTGCTTGCCTGCTCTGCAATGGCCCGTCTAAAGCCTGGTGTCGGCCGCGACCATGCAGGTGCTACAAGTGGAGCGAGCTCAGCATGCACCAGGTCAAGGACTGCGTGCGTGCTGCTCGCACGGGCGTCGAATGGCAACTGCACAGCAGCGGGGAGGGCGGCGACAGCAAAGCCCCTACGCTGGCAGCGGCTCCTGTACCCGGTACAGAGGATCTGCCGGCATTGCCAGGTTGGCGGTCCCACTTCAGCCTCGGCGGCGCTTTCATTGCTTGGCTGGGCATTGTGGGCATGTTCCTGTCGGTGCTGCCAAGTTTGTATCGCCGCAGCAAACGGTCACGCTCCACCCTTGGACGAGGCCCAAAAGTAAGTGTCTGACATATATGTCAAGAGCTGGCAAGCCGGCACGCCCTGAGCTTGTCAACAGCACCCACTGCAACAGACAGCAGCGATTTTACACAGGGAGCTAGTTGCTGAAAGTATTCCAGGGGTCAAATGATCAAAGCACTTACTAATATGAGGACATCAGCTTGATGCAAACAGCAGCGGGAAAGGGAGATTCGACACGCGTGGTTCAGGAAAACAAACACAACACAACAATCATGTGACACACAGCAAATTGCGCTGACGTAACGCGCTGGTACCAAGGCAAGCTTCTGCGCCCAATACAACCATGGACACCATGACAGCTCGGCAAACACAGGAAAGACAGACATCCCAACCACGCACTGTCGCCCGCCATGACTACACACATTGCTGCGGAGAGCATCGCGCGTCGCCGTCTGCCGCGCCGCGCTTCACTCGAAGTAGACCGCAAACACCTGGCAGACACAGTACATTGTCTCGTTCTCGTAGTGCTCCGACGCAAACCCGTCAGTGCTGGTGTCCCACAGGCAGCGCGATGCGATGCGTGTCGCCTGGCCTGCCTTCTGCCCAAGCGTGACCTGGATCACCAGCTTGTGGCGCTCGCAGCCGAGCGCCTTGACCTTCTCGCGCAGGTCCTCTGCGATGTGCTTGGATATGTGGGCAGCCTTGACGGGGTCATACTGCTGCTTCTCCATTCTCTCCCGCAAAACAGCGCGCAGGATGGCCTGCACGTCGGCGACGCGGAACTGCGCGCGTGGGCCATAGCCGTTCGGGCCAGTGATGTACGTATTCTCGTACACGATCTCCTTCAGCGGCCCTCCATAGGAGCTGGGGTCGTCTAGGGCCGCCATGGTGCTCGGGCTGCTATCAATAGTGATGGCGCGCTGAGGTCGAGAGGCCGGTTAGCTGCTTTTACAAGATCTTTGTTTTTTTGTATCGTGGCCTATCAGCATTCTTTCACGGATCCATACACCAGCATACTGGTCTGCAAAGTCAAACAATACAAAATCGATCTGGGTCATTTGCACGGCGCGCGGCCAGCAACTGACCTTTACAAGGAATTATATCCATGCCGCAAGCCGGTGCCCACATGCATTGCTCCAGGTGCCCGCCCAGCATTTGAGCAAGGTCAGGCGAACTCAACGCCCGAAGCGTGTGTAGGAAATACGTGATAAGAAGCAATCCCTGATCGGCAGTCAGCCGCATCGCACGGCCTGACCAGGACTCGCGGCGCATCCGGCCGCGCACCAGCACGAGCAGCAGCAGACGCTTGGGCGCCGCGAGGCGCCGGCACTCGCAGCCCTGGCGGCGGACACGCAGCAGCCGCGGCCTGCCGACATGGAGGCCTTTTTGCGGCAAGCCAAGTACCCGCTTATCAAATACACGGACATGACGGCTGAGATGCGGGAAGAGGCGATGGATGTGTGCATCACGGCGGTGGAGAAGTACCCGCAGGACGTGGAGAAATGCACACAGGCGCGTGCTGTCCCTGTTGTTGGGGGGTACTAGTGGTGGTGATGGTTCAGGATGGGGCAGAGGATGAAGCGGCAGCAGGTGGTGAGGTTGGTGGGCTCAGCAACCAGCAGGAGGTGTGTTGTGCAATCGGACCAGGGGTGCAGGCGCCGGCAATGTCTTGGCAGGCTACAAAGCTCTGGCAGGCCTGTGTGCCGGCAGCGCACATGTAGCCATCGCCAGACAGCTGGTCATATATCACTGGGTCGATTTCTTCATGTGCAGGTTGCACACTGCCTTGGTTCCTTGAATCCTATGCCTCGCTCAGCGCCCCGGCCTTCGTTGCCGCCTCCTGCAAATGCAGATGATCAAGGATCAAATGGACAAGAAATTCGGTTCGCCATGGCATGTCATTGTCGGCCGAGCATTTGCTTATGAAGTCACGTATGAGGTGTGTTGCTGGACAGAGGCCCTACCTGTCCCCCGCGGTGGGGGCCGAGGATGTACGTGCGGGACAGGAACTCTGTCCTGGCAGGACGCCGACCACCCGCCTCCCTCCACAATGCCACACCACCTCCACAGTTGCGCAACATGCTCTATTTGTACGTCGGCGGCACCACTGGCGTCTTGCTGTGGAAAATGTGAGGGGCTAAGCGCGGCCCTCAAGTGCCAAACAGCGGCTGCTGGCGACCGGCGAGGTGGATTCCGCGAGACGGCGGACTTGCTGATGCCTGCAGCGGCGCCTTGTTGGCAGACGATAGCAAGGTCTGCGGCCCTCCTGGCCTCAGGGGCTGGGCCAGCAGCGTTGGCGCCAGCTCCGATTTCGATTCAGTGGCTGCCTGCCGGTCCAGGCCGCTCTGAGGACACGTGCTTTTGCCGCGAGACACGGCCTTCTTCCTGTGCTGGTGATGCTCTGTCTACTACTTATGCCTCGCAAGTCATTCCCACAGCTGGTTGGCAGCTGAGCTGCAAGGCCCCTCCCTAGTGACACACCCGGCAGTGCGGCAAACCTCGTTCTACGGTTGCGCCGGTGCGCGTCGTACACAACCTTGCCTGGCGCACCTGCTCCAGCACCGACTCGGTGTGCTGTCGGACAGCCGCAGTGCTTCACTGCGGAAGCCTTGAAATGTCGTGCTGGTCAAGAGGACACACGTAGTTCTTGGCAGCTGCAGACTGATTGATAGGGGCTGCAGTATCATGTTTACCATGCATCTGCCGGTAACGCTAGCTCTCATGCTCCAGGGTGGTGACAGCAAAGCAAATGCATGCCGCACGAGAGGACAGCTTGTTGTGGCAGGCTGGCTGTCTGCTCAGCTCCTTGGATGGAAGTTCACACAACGCGTACCATTGAGCGGCAGTGTGCCTTGCTTAGAAAAAGATGGAATGGAAGCCTCCCGTCTCGCAGACTCCCGTTGCCCATCCTGCTGCCTATGGCAAACGCTGGACTTGCCGACAGTGCCGGCTAGACGCCCGCAATAATCCCGCGCCCCACGTCACTGCTACTGCCACGACAAAGCCACAAGAAACCCCAGTGCAGCGACCAATTAGCTGACGCCCCACGCTACTCGCAGGCCAGCTTGCTGTCGAAGCTGGAGAGGCAGATGGCGAAGGCCTGCAGCGGCGTCAGCGGCCACCGGAAGTCGCACGTGAACGTCTCGTCCCCCGCCTTGCCAAATTGCAGCACCACCGTGTCCGGGTCCCCGTCCAGCACCAGCTGGAAGTTCTTGACGCTGGCGACAGACACGCGGCCGCCAAAGTTGAGGCAGAACGCGTGCATCGCATCGTTCCAGCGGGGGGCCTTGTTCCGCAGCATCGCGGCCGGTGGCGGCGGGCGCTGGTGGGGGTGCTGGTCCTTGGACGCGGCCGCCTCGGACTTGAGGTGGTCGAGGAGGGAAGCCTCGCCGCCAGCGCTGGCGCTCTGCGGCGCGGTGATTCAGAGCGTGGCAGGATCGGGGGCCTCCATCCAAAGCTGAAGCAAGCTTCCCTGGCAGCTCGCCATTCAAGCACACATGCGGCCCGACAAACGGGGTCTTTGCTGGGTGCAGCTCGGCAAGCGCGGTACAGACTCACGTGTCCGCACTGCGTAGACAGGCATGATATGTGCCTGCGCGGGGTTTGCCCACCTGCTGGCTAGCAATCCGGCCCCTGGAGTGCTCCTGCGCCAGCGGCAGCGCCGCCACCATCTTGCGCGGCCCCTTTGTCCCCAGAATGTTGGGCTCGTACGCGATCGCTGCCAGCTCTCGCTGCGGCGCCAGCGCGCCCTCCTTGCCGCCAACCCCGGCGCCGCTGCTGCCGCTGCTGCCGCCGCTGGGGCCTGCTGCGGCGCTGCCCGGCTTGGCGCCCGCGTCCACTAGCTGGAACTCGGTGCCCACAAAGTTGGCCTTCAGCTTGGCGACAAAGCCGGGCGCGTAGCGCGCCCCGGCGCCGGCGGATTGGGAGGTGGTGATGTCATAGCGCGACGGCGCGGTGCCCTTGCGGCGGCGCCCCGCGAGCAGGAAGCGGCGGCCGTCCTCCAGGAACAGCTGGTACCTGAGTCAGGTCGGTGCGGGATTTTGGGGGTGCGGCATTTCTGGGGATCCGGCTGCAAGCTTGCCAAGCCCAGGCAACTAGATCGCGCAAGTTGTTAGTGCGCCGCGCATCGACGGTGTGCGCGCCTGCGCCACCCCATTTCAGATCCCTTGTCCGCACAGCCCTCCTCCCGAACTGGCCACCTTCTCCCTCCCCAAACCTGCCGACCCACCACCCAAAAAACCCGTCTCCCTGAACCCGGCAATATCAAACTCCACCCACGCCTTCCTCCGACCGCCGCGCCTCACTTGTGGTTCTTCATGCCCACGATGGTGTCCTTCTCCCGCGTGATCAGGCACTGCACCGGCCCCTCCCGCGGCCCCGGCTGCATCAGGAAGGCTGCCAGGTCCGTGATCTTGACCTTGACCGGCTCCACCCTGGCGCCGCTGCCGCTGCCGCTGCTGCTGGCGGGGTGCACACCCACCAGCTTGCCGCCGGTGGGGTCGTACTCGGTGGCGAGGCCCCGCGCCGCGAGCTGGCGCTCCACGTCCCTGCTGTCCCTCAGAAGGGATAGCGCGAATTGCAAGCCGTGAGGGTATTAATAAACTATCAACAGGGACGGCACCAATATCTTATCTTGGCGATTGGTGTGCCTGTCTGCGAAGGAAACGAAGCAGTGCGGTGGCAGCAAGGGTTGAATCTGACTGCCAGGTCTCACCCTGTGTAGGTGGTCGCGCCACCGCCGATCTCCGCCATCGGCGCCACCCGCTCAAAGAAGTGCCCTTCATCTGCACTGCTAGTGCCTGCCCGTCCGTTCGCCAACGCTACTGCAGCCTGCTGCGGAATGCCACGCCCAGGCAAGGCACCAAAGCCAGCCCCGCTTTCATCGTCGCCTATGATACTGCTGATACCACCAGTGCTGGCTCTATGGCCGTCCCATGCCGCTTTGGGCGTGCCACCGCGGCCGGGTGTGCCGGCGCTGCTGGGACGGCTGCTGATGAGGCCAGCGTTGGTCTGAGCTATGCCGCCCAGCTGTAGGCGCTCCAGGCGCTTCTGCAAGGTGCATATGTTTGGTGCTTACGGCTGACAAACTTCAATGCATTTTTGTGTTTCTAGCGCAATTTGTTTCACTCAGGTCGGTGCGGGCAACGCACACGCGCCATGCAGCGCGCACAGCTGATCACACCTGAGCAGCAAATGACTTCTGCTGCGTCAGCCGCTGCGTCGCACTCGGCGAGCTCGTGGTGTAGTCGTTCGTGGTATAAATTTGGGTCGTTTGCGGGCTGTTTTCACCCGCCAGGATGTCTCCGTGCTCTAAGGCACCTTGCACTTGCAGGCCTGGGCAAAGAGAGCCACGTCAGCCGACGGTTTTAGATCTCAAAACTAAGCAAACGACACAATACCACTCACTCTTGTAGCTCGCCGTGCCCATACGCGACCGGGCCGCTGATGAAACCGGTCTCGACATGTTTGACTTCCTGCGGGCCCGTTGTTAAACCATACAAACTATGATTTGTAATCAAACAAACGGACGCAGCTGTGAGAGTACCGTGGAGGCAAGCAAGGAGGTAGTGCATACTTCGTGACCACTGCGCTGCCAGCCGTCTGCATCAACGAAGACCTGCCACTCACCTACTCCTGTTCCTCCCAACCTCCACTTTGCCGGTTCACGCTTGCCTTCACCTGTCATAACCCCCTGTCTGCATGCCCAATGCTCATAGTGCAGATAGATTGGTTACACAACGCTGCCAAACCTAGACAGAGGCCAGCACACCGCACCGCGGGTGAAGTACTGCAGCTACAGAAGGGCACAGCCCCCGGGGCCAAACAAGCACAGGACCAAGCAACAACGTGACAGCGAAGGATCCCAGTGCCAAGGAAAGGGCGCCAAGACAACAACTAGTACTTGGCGTTGACAGGCTCATTGTAATCCAGCAGGAACACAAAATCCTCGGGGAAGCCCTAAAAAGGGGGGTGGCGTAAGGTTTTTTGGGGGGAGCGGGAAGAGGGGGGGGGTCGTTCAAGGCGGATCAGCTGGCAAAGATCAGCTGGGGCAGCAGAATGGGACCAACAGCGGTGACATGCGAGCACATGGTGCGGCTGGGCAGCGTGCAGCCGGGAGCGGCGCAGCAGCATCCACAGAGGGCACTCCCTCACCTCGCCCTTGGCGGGCACGTGCTGCCAGACGCCCTGTCGTCAAGTGAGTGCGCGGGTGGGCCGGCGAGACGCAGGTCGCGCTGCTGGCCAGGTGCTTGATTTGATGGCGCCATGACAGACCTTCCAGGCCGTCACTGACACCAAGCTCGCGCTACATCCAAGCCAAGAAGCCCGCCTGCCGATGCCGGCGTCCCACAGCCCGCCGCAGCTGCCACCCAACCGCAAACACCGCACGACGCCTCACAGCTGCAAGCGCCCGCCCGCCTCGGCCAGCCTCCCCTCGTCTTCCGTACCCCGCCGCCCGCTCACCAGGGGCAGGTGCGTCCGCCGCGCGGGGTCGCTGAGCGACCAGGCCTCCCACTCGGGGATGGTGGCCCAGGTTTGCTGCGCGACCCACTGGTCCCCGTCGTTCGTGAGCTTGAACCCCTGGAACCCCGGGAACGACTGCATGGCCGCCTCCCGCTCCCGCCAGACCCCCTCGAACAGCGCCACCGACTGGGGCTCGACCTTGAACCTGGGACGTTTCGAGGGATGGGGTTCGGCGGGCGCGGGGGCGGGGGAGGGGGGGCGTCGTGCAGGCTGAGTGCCGCGGCACCAGGAGCCGTGCTGATAGGCGCGCTGCGAGGACAGGAGGTGAAGAGCCGCCGCTGCTGGTGTGCTACGGCAGCCGCTAACAGCATTATGGAAACTTTGATGAGCTGCGGCCGTCGGAGTCCCACCGGTTGATGTTTGTGAACGGGCCGGCAGGCGCAGCAGGTCCCTTGGGTGCCGGCTTCTTGGCCGCCACAGCGCCGTTGCCGTTGGAGGCCGCCTGTTGGTGAACCGCAACACGCATCAAACTCATGTCGATCCCAGGAAGGCGCTTGCAACGAGACATGCTGGAGCGCAAGCGTCCAAGCCCCGCCGCAGCACACACCATCAGCTGCACAAGTGGCAACAGGACTGCAGGAGCAGCAGCAGCAGCAGCCGGCTGTGCGCTTGCCAGGTCACCGCACCCGAGACACCACCACAGCTGACCGCCGCTGGGCATTTGCAGCAGTCCCGACAAGCGCTCCCCTGCTCTGCGTCTGCAGTGTGGCGGCCTGCGAAAAGAGACCAATGAGCGAGACCCTCTCGCCATTCTGGACCATGCTCGGGCAGGCACTTGCGGCATGCATCTCGGCACGAACACAACGCTTTGCCTCACCCTCATCATGTGCTTCTCTTCTGGGCTTGGCAAGCTTTGAGCAGACCGTGGGCAATTGTGGGCTAGACGGCGGCCTCCAGTTCCAAGTGCAAGCAGCGGTGATAATATATCAAGCTCCGAACAGCAACTGTACGCATGCCCATCATATGACCCGACTCAAGCGAGGCTGCTGGACCATGACGCATGTGAGTCACCTCGTTTTCATCACAGCAGGGATCCAATATGTGAGAGTCGCATCTATAGCGTCTTGGTAAAGAGAACATTATCACAGTGCAAAGCTAAAAGTGACGTCGCCCTGCAGCAGTGATCACTTCGCGCCACAAAGCTGAAATTTCGCTGATCGGCTGTTCTCACCCATAATTTGAAGCTATAGACGCAGATCTGTAGGCAGAGTCTGTATTGGGCCACCGGATTGCCGGAGCACATGACGGGTGATTGTTCCTGACTCCCAGCCTGCACCGCAAGCCCCACCTGGCGCTGTTGAGCGGGCGTCCAAGACTGTCTGGCGCTGGGAAGCGCAAGCCCAGCGTCCCACTCAATAGCATGGCGCCTGCGCGTCTCATGCAACCCGCCCCGCGCTTTTGTTTTTCCTGCGCAGCGACGCGGGCCCCACCCTTTGTGCGCAGCGTGCTGTCCAGCAGCAACGGGGCTGTCAAGCTCCTCACGGTGCGCGCGGCGGCGTGGCTAGCCGCCAGCCTGCTGTACATACTCGCATGCCACTTGTCCCTCATGCATCCCCAGCCCTTGCTAGCCAGGGCCGCTGGGAGGCGGCCTCCACTCGAACAAGATGTTCGCGTTGAGGGTAGCGAAGGCCCTTGCCCAGTCCCTCCGTTCGGTCCTGCGCGCTCCCCCCCCCCTCCAGCTGGCCGTCCTGCGCCAGGGCAGCCGCGTGCTGCTGGGCCGGAAGAAGCGCGGCTTCGGTGAGGGGTACGTCAACGGCTTTGGCGGCAAGGTGGAGCCCGGGGAGACGATCGAGGCCGCCGCAGCCAGAGAGGTGGGCGGGTCGGCTGGGTGGCCCCTGCTGCCGGCCTATCCACGTTATGGACGACTGCACGTAGAGCGCATGCGTGCGCCTGTCGATCCTAAGTCAAGGCTAGGAGGTATGCCAGGAATTGTTCCACAAGGCGCATTACAACCCCTTGGGGAGGGCAGCCGTCACTGGTGCTGTTCCCTGACGCAGGGCAATCGTTGCTCAGTACCCGTCCTGCCCAGCCCAGCCGCACTCGCACCTCGCCTCCGCCCCCGTCTTTTCTCCACACACACGCGTCCTGGCGGCCATCTGGTAGATTGGAGAGGAGGCGGGCGTTGTCCCCCTGGGGCTGCGGCAACGCGGTGTCCTCACGTTTGTGTTTGACGACCAGCCAATACCCTGGGAGGTGCACGGTGAGCGGCCGCTGGCCGGTGGCCGTCACGAGGCAGCGGCTGGGGACATGGAATCCGGCCCATGCGTGGCGCTGTTGCAGCGTACCTGCGGCGCCATGCATCAAGCTTTAGCGGGAATGGGTGGCATCCAGGACTTGCGGCGGCGTGCGTAGGGACGCGCTGGCGCCGCCTCCAAGCGTCTGAACCCCTCTGACAAGGCGGTGGGACTCGTCGCCCCACTACGTATCCGGTGCGGGCAGTGTTCACGTCTGCAGGGTTCAGTGGGGAGCCCTGCGAAACGGACGAGATGCGGCCAGAGTGGTTTGACGCCTCATTAGATGCCATCCCCTTTGACAAGATGTGGTGAGAACAGGGAGTCGACTTTTCTCCGAGTGTGCCCCAAACGTCGTCCTTTGTCCAGCTGCGGTCAGGTGCTGCATACAACCCTGGGAGGCGCCGCGCACCACGAACGTCAGTAGACACAGCACTGGCGGCGGCCTGCGAGCCGCCAGGGCTGTGAATGTCGAGCAGCGTCGAGCTCTGCCCTGCAACACTCTGCTGCCCAGGGCGGACGACCGCTACTGGTGGCCGCTGCTGCTGCGCGAGGACGAGCCCAGCTTCCAGGGCCTCTTCGGGTTCAGGGACACCCACGCCCTCGCCTGGTGGCGCCTGAGGGAGGCGCCGCGGGGGGAGGCCCTTGGGGATGTGCGGGAGCTGCTGCCGCCGGCCGAAGGCGAGGGGGCGGAGGGCTGAGCGACGCTGCGGCAGTGGCGGGGCGAATGAGTGACTCTTCGTCTTCCTGGGGGCGCTGCCGGGCCCCTCGCATGCGCTGGGGCTGGGTACCAGGAGGGTTTCTGCTGCAGAGCGCTGCTTTACATATGCTGAGAGTGCTTGAGTGATATTGGGAGGTCTGCATTAGAGCACAGACACAGAAAAAAACCCGCCTGTTGCATCACATTTAGAAGCAAAAGCATCGATTCAAGCCCAGCACAGAGTCGCTGTGGCTCTGATTGTGGCAACGGACTGGCTTGCGGCCCCGAAATGGGACGCTGCCGGAAAGCTGGCGCACGCCGCTTGCTCAGCGGCGCGGTAAATCGACTCCCGATGTGCGCCTGTGAGGACGTCCTGCAAGCATGCGCTGAGGGGCCTCAGCACTGTGAGACGCACCGACTCAACAAAACCGCAGCAGCAAACAGACCTTGACACTGGCTGCACACGATGCGCACATGCGTGGGGCGCACGCAACGAAAAACACACGTCGCTGTCTTGCTGCCTCTGTCGCCGCGCCAATCGCGGGGCGGCCCATCTCACAGCAGGCGCCGCCGGCCGGCGCCGCCGCGGCGCGTCACTGCAGCTTCACTGCAGCTGCGCGTCCGGCGCGTCCTGGTAGCGCCCCGTGGCCCTGTCGTACCGCAGCAGCGTGTCGCCGATCCGCCCCGCGGCCTTGTTGCGCATCTTGCGCACCAGCACCTGCACCAAGGCCGGATCCCCTGTGGGCGCCTGCGCGCCGCCGGAGCCCGCGCGGGGGCCGAGCGGGGGCCCTCGGCGGGAGAAGCCGCCGGCGAAGGGGCGGTGCACCACGACGCCGCAGTCGGCCTTATTGATGAAGTGGGCGCTGTTTTGGGGGGGGGGTGCGAGAAAGCACCGGGT